TTTAAAAGTTAAATCAGAACTCAAAGTTGATCAAAGCGTTTACAAAGTACATTTAAATACACACTGAAACTAAATTTATCTGTAATATTACTAAACAGATAGCAGCAATGGTTAGAAGGTGTAAAAACATTTTAACCACAAAGTACGGTCACACAAAACAGTAAGACATACATTAAAAGTTGCCCATAACAATAATATGAAGCATACTTTTTACTTTTTTTTAAGTAGAATACAATTCCAAAACATAAGACAGAAATATGTGGTTATTATGCTAAGTGATAGTTTCGTATAAATGTTAGTATGTGGTTGTACAAAGTACAAAATGACATATGGTTACATTTATTTTGATAATCATTCTTGGTTTTACGCAGTTAAATATTGGTATAAACTTCCTACCTATGTGTGGCGCTAATTCTACATTATACTCTTTTGGCAACCGTCAATAAAAATAAAGAAGAAGAACAGCGAGTCAACACTGTATTGTACCTTCCGCGCCACCGTAGTCTGTTGTGTACGCATGTGTTTTGTTTTACCATTGATTAAGTTCACAAAAACATAATTTTAAAATATGTCCGAAAAGGGAGAGGTGGATTTGACTGGTGCAAAACAGAACACGGGCGTATGGCTCGTCAAGGTGATTTTCTTTTATTTTCCATAACATTATGTAGGATAGAATAAATAAATACGAAGTAGGCTCGCTGTTCTGAGCAATTGTATATCGATAGCATGCTATGCTAACATAACGCTGTAGCCAAATAGTAGGGTCTCTTGTTGCATTTTTGTTATAGCTACATATAAACATTGAAAAGTCGAGTATTTGGGTTATAATAATATATAATAATAAATAAGTGCTGTACTCATTTTTTCTCACGTACTGTAGGTTCCGAAATATCTCTCTCAGCAATGGACGAAAGCGACGGGAAGAGGCGAAGTTGGGAAACTCCGAATCTGCAAGTATGTGAAATAGATTAGATTAGGGCGAACTCTATTGATACTATACTGGAGAAATTATTGTAAATAGCCTTTAAGACTCGATACTCAAATATGTGTGAATACTCAAACATATCAAACTTATGTGTCAATGCGTCATCAGTTCATTTGTATTTTAGGCGTTTGAAATGCATTTTGGATCATCATAACCTGCTTTTTAATTACCCCCTTATCCTAAAGGAAAGGAAACCAAGGAAAAGCTGAGGTAAAGTATTTTATTTAAATCACCATCACTTACACGCTACGTTAAGACTAACAACTTAAACTATACTGTTGTTGTACAGGTGAGTTTCACTCTAAATGAAGAACTGACGGTGATCGAAGGTATTGAAGCCAAGACTGTGTCTGCACCTCGTGACCATCCATTTACCATGCAGTCAGTGGGAGGCCAGACTTTAGCAGTCTTCACTGAGACGTCATCTGGTTAGTTTCTTTGTGTTTAAAAAGAAGATCCTGTTTGTGTTTTTTTGCATTATCCGTGTGTTTTTGTTCTAAAGCCCAGATAGGTAAGTTAATTTTGGTTGGACACTAACCACTCCGACCTTCTCTTTGTATCGCTTGGTTTGGTTGGACACTAACCACTCCGACCTCTTTGTATCGCTTGCTGTCTTCTGGTGCACTCTTCGCCTGCTGTGATTTCTCGTGTTTTGTCTGTGCTCACATTTTTGCTGGAGTGTGAACTTGTCTGCAGTTATTGTGGTCTTAAAATTTACCAAATACCACACCCAGTAAACATGTGAGTGCTCAATATAAATCTAAAAATCTTCTTTGTTGGAAATCAATCATCAATAGCCTGATTTGTGTTTAAGGTGGAGCAATTTTTCTTAAGCTTTGATTGATCTCTAGTCATTTGTTGTGGTTTGAGCTTTGCATTCTCAGTAGCTTGTTGACATATGAACATGCTCTGTTGGCTAGTCTAATCTGGATCCAGTCAAAATAAATCCAATCTATAGCAAATGGGTTTTAAGAACAACACAGACCTTAAATAGTGCATAGGTCTCTTTTGCTAGTAGTTTTCTGGTCTCATCTGCTTTTCTGAATGTGCCGGTGGTATTTTGTTGCTGTGGATGCTAGTGAGCTTGTGCCTGTGTTTATTTTAGTTCTCTCAGTACAACCTGTGGATGAAGGGCAACAATTGTATAATTCTGCCTACTGCAGCTTTAACTGCAGTTGAATAATAATAATGATGATTCATATTATTATTCTTTTAGGGTAAACATGGCAATAAGGCCACTGTCATAGATTAAGGTGTTCTTAATCTTAATGTGTGGCGCTTTGTGGTGGGAAATTTGCTTGCTGGCTGATTGGGCATGCGTGCTTTGCTAATGCAAAGTGTGACTAAATGTCATGTGTGTGACTAAACACAAAGTGTGGTTCTTTTGTTTGATCCCCTGCTCCCTATGGCCTCAACCCTCTCTATCTTCACATTAATCCTCCCTCCCTTCCTGTAGGCCAGTCAGAAGAAAGGTCTGATGGCAGCAGCTCAGGTGCGGGGGCGGGGGCAGGTCCAGGTGAGTCCCCCTTGTCAGCAGCAGTTGGCAAAGTTGCACACCTAGGAATGTGACACTTGCATAATTTTAAAAAAGTAGCGTTCGTATTATTCTACAACACCTAGGAATGTGACACTTGCATAATTTTTTAAAAAAGTAGCGTTTGTATTATTCTACAACATTTTTTTTTAAAGAATGGCTTAAAATGATTTTCCTAATAAAGCAAAACTTTAGATCTGTTTCTGCTCTGTCATTTAGGCTGTGATTGTGAAGTAAATATTATGCAGCGAGGCTTAGTTTCAACACGGCGTTGATGGAAATGTTTTCAGACTGGCGATAAATATGGTCGAGCACAATGTTTACCGGTTTGTTTGGATAATGGTTGCACTTGATATTATATAACTTAAGCGAATAACGTGACAGGCCTAATGTGTTGTTGTTGGTGGAAACTTTGCGATGCTGTTTGCCACCTTCTGATAAATATGGGTTTTAAGACTTTTTTTGTTCAGATATGTTGCATTTGTTTTTAGTAATAACCTGGGTCAATATAGGGTTATGATGTGAACATCTGACTTTCTGAAGTAACCTCCATCCTTCCTCAGTATTTCTTTCCACTTCTTCCTTTTATACAGGCAACCACTCATCTGTCTCTACGTGTGTTGCACAAAGATACACTTAGCTGGTTTTTTAATCAACTCTACGCTTTTGCAGATAAAATAGCTGTCGAGGGATTGGTGGTACAGAGAGCAGAATGCAGACCTGCTGTCAATGAAAACTACATGAAGTTAAAGAGGTAAGCATTTATTTACACTAATATGTAAGGCAGCGTTTCCCCAAACACTTGGATGAACGACAACTGCAATCACAACCTAAATCAAATTGTTTTATACAATGCAAGTGGATGGGAAATGTTATGATGCTGAGGTTTAAAAAGTTCTGTTAGGCAACTGGATGTGAATTTTCTAAAAGAAGACATTTCACCTCTAATCCAAGAGGCTTCTTCAGTTCTAACTGGTGGTGGGGATTACAGCAAATAAATACTCCAGGTGAGAAAGAATAAAGCTACTTCAGCTCCTTCCAGTTAGGTGAAAGTGTAAACAGTCATTAAGAGTCTGATGGGTCATTGTGGTCCTCATCAGAACGGTTTCGGTCAGCTGCCTCTTTGTTGTGTGAAACTTTTGGGTATTGTTCCTAAAAGTGCTTTGTAAGTGGGTGAGTCCACCTCCTCTGTTGAGTGATGGTTTTTCCAGGTTGACAGAAATGGCTTATTTTACCCCTCACTCAAACCATCTGTCTTCCCTGGCCCTGAGGAGTTGGCCCTCCTGTGTTGGGCCATGCGCCTGTGTAGCGGTTGTTTAGTCTCCCCAATGTACAGGTTCGTACACCATACCTCACTGCACTGAACGGCATAAACCACATTGTCCAGCTTGTTTCTTTGAGTATTGTCTTTGGGATGAACCAGTTTTTGTCTTAGGGTGTTACCAGGTTTGAAATGTACGGGGATCTGGTGTTGGTTAAAGATCCTCCTAAGTTTTTCCGAAACTCCTGAAATGTATGGAGTGACGACCTTCCCCCTCCTCCTGTTGTCCTCCCTCTTTGTGGGCCTCTTTTTGTTTGTTTTTAAAAACGCCCATCTGGGATAGCCACAGGTCTCGAGGGCTGTCCTAATGTGTCCCTGTTCTCTTATCTTACCTCTGGTGGTGGTGGGAAAGGTGTCTGCCCGTGACTGTAGGGTTCTGATGACTCCTAATTCTTGCTCCAGTGGGTGGTGTGAGTCAAAACGGAGGTACTGGTCGGTATGGGTTGGTTTCCTGTACACCTCTATGTTGAGTTGTCTGTCCTCGGCTCTCCACTTCCTCCATGTAGAGATTCGCCACTATGGGAGACACAGGAGAGCCCATAGCGCAGCCATGCTTCTGTCTGTAGAAGGACTCGTTGAACTGGAAGTAAGTGGTGGTGAGGCAGAAATCTAGAAGAGCATAAATGTGGTCAATGGTCAGGTTGGTTCTTACCCGCAGGGTGTGATTTTGAAGTAAGCGCATCCTCACTGTTGTTACCGCCTCTGTGGTGGGGATGCATGTAAAAAGTGATGTGACATCGTAGCAGACCATGGTCTCATCCGGGTCCAGTTTTAGCCCCCTTAACTTGTTGATGAAGTCCTGTGAGTTAGCTATGTGGTGAGGTGTGTCCCCAGCCAATGGTGAAAGGATAGAGGCCAGGTGTTTGGCAATGTTGTTAGTGACTGAGTTGATGCTGAGATTCAGCAATTCAATCAATTGTGTTATGTTGCAGTTTAGATTAATATTGTAATAAACTATGTTGTCCTTACTTTTTTTTTCTTAATTTCATTCAGGTTACAAATAGAGGAGTCCTGTAAGCCGGCCAGGTTATCACAGCAACTGGACAGAGCCGTCACCAGCAACTACAAACCTGTGGCCAACCACACTTACAATGTGAGGAATGAAATCAGTCAACAAAACTGTCTTGTCCTGTTAATCTGGGGTTTTGTTGTAACCAGTACGTAACAATACAGCCGAGATGTAGAAAATTCATTACACATTACATGCTGATAGTGGGGAAACTAGACCAGTTGAACAACTGCTAAAGTAAAGGGTTTTCAGGCAGAGTGATGAACCTAAGAAAGACACCTGTTCTTGACCACTGTCTGTTCTCTTTGCTGCAGCTGGAGTATGAGCGCAAAAAGAAGGAAGAGGGCAAGAGAGCACGCGCTGACAAACAGCAGGTGTTGGACATGTTGTTTTCTGCATTTGAGAAGCATCAGTATTACAACATTAAAGACCTCGTGGACATCACCAAACAGCCTGTGGTAAGATAAAGGGCAAAGTCAAATGATTGGCACAGCTAATCCTTGTTTAAAGCTAGTTTGATTTGTTACAGTTGTTACAATTTATTATCAAAAGTTGATGTTTTTCTATCTTTTAAACAAAAGTGACTGAGTCAACTTTGTTCTATGTCTGTCCTCTCTAAGAGTTACTTGAAGGAAATCTTGCGCGATATTGCCATCTACAACGTGAAGGGAACACACAAAAACACCTGGGAGCTCAAGCCAGAGTATCGACACTATCACGGCGAGGAAAAAACTGATGAGTAGTTTCTGCAGCCCATTAGCCATCTTTATTTTAATGGAGTTCCTTCTACATCAGTCCTTGGAATTCTTTTAACTTCCTTGCATATAATCTGTTTACGTCACGGCAGGTTGTTGTTAGTTAGTGACACCTTAATACTCAAGTGTGTCATTACTTCCTGATTGGCTCAATGTGCTGTTAGGAAGCCCTCAAATGTAAAAGCTAGTGTAAATGGAACTTTGTGTAATTTAGCAAAATACATTTATAACTTTTCTCACTGGATTTTACCTAAAATAATTTAAATATCAGGTAGTGTAGTGTTTATGTAAAAATAGATTGTTTTTTAGTACTCTTAAATGCATTTTCTATTGTCAGTAAATTCCTAATGTTAAATGTTTTACTTTAAGTGTTTAATAAAGGTTTGGTATTTCTCTTCCCCACTTACCCGAATTCCATGTACACCTGGGTGTAACATGGGATATGTCAAATGTGAATAAAGTACAGTGTGAATTGAATTTAAATTCTTAGTTTTTATTGCAAAACAAGAGTTTGAACTTAATTATAATACAATTTGTACAAAGACATTTACACAATGTCCAACTTGTTTAGAGGTCCATCTGGTTCCTACAAGAAAACAAGATGCAACATTAAGTGATGCTCAGTCTAAGATATGCCAATGACAAGATGCTACACCATTTCCTACAGATTACTGTTAACATTCTAATGTTCAAAAATATGAGGAAAACACATAGTCGACATTAAGACTATTACTTACATGTGTTCCCTAATTCAATCTGTGCAGCTATGAAGTGAAGCAGCCAGAAAGCACAAGGACATTTTGCTTTAGCATCTCCATGCAAACCCAGAAGGCACTGAAGGCAACCTCAGGTCTATCAGTGGATGCAGAGGACTGACCCCAACTTCATGACTTCTACTTACCACATAATTACTTCAAACCAGGATTCACTACGGGTTCCATTAAAGCCACAGCAACTGGTTCTTTGACTCAATCTCAGCTCTCATACCTTTAAAAAGCAATTAAAAAAAATCATTACAAAAACATTACAATCAACATATATTGTTACAATTAAATTGTGTAAAGAACTAACATTAAAATGTGAAACTTTTCATTTGTTTTCCCCTCTTCAATCTGGGACGCCATTGAAAACAAGCGAGCAGAAAGCGCAGGGAATGATAGTTTTGCATCTGTAATACTGTAACCCAGAGTCTTCTCACAGCAGAGAGTCTGGGCTGTCAAAGATGCGTCTGAAACTTTGAGAACCTTAGTCTACATCAATTTAACTTACATTTTCAAACAACTGTCATGGATGTTAGGTTGTTCTCCTAGAGGTCTCTCCTGTCCTGGTGAATATTGGAGACATTGTGTTGAAGGTCAAATGCCTGTATACTCCTTGAAGCTCATGGAGGTTTCTAAAGAATGGCAAGATAATGCACACACAAAAAAAAAAAAAAAGGTATTAGCTCCATACATAAAAACAATGCCTTCTAACCAAATACATTTGTTAATATTTCAAATTTGAGGATTATGTTTTATACAGAACAGAATGTCTGCAAATACTTTTATTAAGCATAAATTGTCAACTCAAACCAGTATATTTTGTTTAGATTACGTCTAGAAATCATACACAAAAATGTGAAACATTTCATCTGTTTTCCCCTCTTCAATCTGGGACGCCATTGGAAACAAGCGAGCAGAAAGCGCAGGGAATGATAGTTTTGCATCTGTAATACTGTAACCCAGAGTCTTCTCACAGCAGAGAGTCTGGGCTGTCAAAGATGCGTCTGAAACTTTGAGAACCTTAGTCTACATCAATTTAACTTACATTTTCAAACAACTGTCATGGATGTTAGGTTGTTCTCCTAGAGCCCTCTCCTGTCCTGGTGAATATTGGAGATATTGTGTTGAAAGTCAAATGCCTGTATACTCCTTGAAGCTCATGGAGGTTTCTAAAGAATGGCAAGACAATGCACACAAAAAAAGGTATTAGCTCCATACATAAAGACAATGCCTTCTGGACTTTAAAAAAAATCTAACCAAATACATTTGTTAATATTTCAAATTTGAGGATTGTGTTTTATACAGAACAGAATGTCTGAAAATATTTTTATTAAGCATAACTGTCAACTCAAACCAGTATATTTGTGTTTATATACCGTAAAGAAATCACACAAAAATGTGAAACATTTCATCTGTTTTCCCCTCTTCAATCTGGGACGCCATTGAAAACAAGCGAGCAGAAAGCGCAGGGAATGATGGTTTTGCATCTGTAATACTGTAACCCAGAGTTTTCTCACAGCAGAGAGTCTGGGCTGTCAAAGATGCGTCTGAAACTTTGAGAACCTTAGTCTACATCAATTTAACTTACATTTTCAAACAACTCTCATGGATGTTAGGTTGTTCAAGGGGTCTCTCCTGTCCTGGTGAATATTGGAAAACTGGAGACATCGTGTTGAAGGTCAAATGCTCCTTGAAGCTCATGGAGGTTCCTGAAGAATGGCAAGATAATGCACAAAAAAAGTATTAGCACTGTACATTAAGAAACAATGCCTTCTTGACTTAAAAAAAGTCTAACCAAAAATCAAATACATTTGTTAACATTTCAAATTTAGATTATGTAAAGAAATCACAAAAATGTGAAACTTTTCATCTGTTTTCCCCTCTTCAATCTGGGACGCCATTGAAAACAAGCGAGCAGAAAGCGCAGGGAATGATAGTTTTGCATCTGTAATACTGTAACCCAGAGTTTTCTCACAGCAGAGAGTCTGGGCTGTCAAAGATGCGTTTGAAAGGAACAGGCTTGACCCATTTAGAAACTTTGAGAACTTCAGTCTACATCAACTTAACTAAATCCAATTGTATGCATGACTACACTTAATGATTACACGAATATATTACAAGTTAAGAAAAAAATCAAGTTGTATACTCTAAAACTGGCTTGACTTGAGCACACAAAGCAACGCTGAGGTGACACACCAGAGTACAATAATGCTAATGAGCTAAGGCTAACAACCAAAGCTAAAAGCCAAAGCTCGAAGGAGGCCAAGTTTGAAAGTGTAATTCGCTCTCTTAAATAAATACTATTCGTTGAGCTCTGGTTCAAGGTAATTTCAGTGACAGTTTTAAGAAGTAGACACGAGAAGCAGTCAAAGGCGGCCATACAAAAACGGCAGTAACCATCTTGCACGTGTTCACAAACATTATTTAAGTCCAACGCTACAACTGCATCATTAACATTTTATTTTATAATCATAATAGCAACATGGCAATTACTTACTAGAGAACCTTGAATAATACCAGCCGTGGTGTTTGCTAGCATGCTGCTCAGAAAACTACAACCATTTTTCTGGTAGAGATGCACGTGTGTCTTGGGAGACGGCGTCTGTAAAAGGATGGACAAACTACTGAGAACAGCGAGAGGCCCAATCTAATTGCTTTCATTGGCTGAGCTGCATGATGACGTCAGTCACAAACCGGTACCCCGTTTAGCAGTGTGGTAATACGTACGTGGATTATAGTATTTAACGATAGATCATTTAGGTAGGTCATTTACGATACACATTAAATATTTTCAATAAGGCTAACTATACGATAAAATTGCCAATAGTGTTGGACAAACAATTATCCACTCACACTCACAGCAATATCTGGTTATAGCCCGCCCCCTCTCTTTTAGCTGCCAATCAAACAGCAGCGCTCAGCTTACGTTTGCTTGCGCAAAAGCGTTCATTGATTTTTATTTTTTTTAGTACATACAATAGTTTTACTCAAAATACAATACATTTGAGGCTATTTTAACTATTATTGTGCATTTTTGGAGATTAAGAGACCACTTCATGCGGAAGTAGAAACAAGCTAGAAGAGCAAGCTGAGCTCTGATTGGTTGGAAAAAAATATATAGGAACATGATTAGGGGAAAAAAAACAACAATTTGATTTGGTGAAAAAAATCCCTTCAAGAGTCCCTTGATTGGACAAAATACATCATATTTATTATATAAATATGTCCAATTTCATGTAGTAAAATGTGTATTTCAGGCATGAGGTTTATCAGATTTAAAGGGCCTATGACGATCTAATAAATAATCATAAATAGCTGGCTATTTTTTTTACACTTTTTACTTGAAAAACTAGAAACCCATAATAAAATGTTGCTTGTCCTCTTTTAATTGCTTTGCAATAAGAAGTTGGATTAAAGTGTCTCTGTGGAGTCCTTAAACATTGTATGACATGTAAATGAAAAATGAAATTGCTGAATTAAATAAGAGATTCATGACACAATAAAATATGCATAATCATAATAGGCCTAATACTACAGAGACCTGCATCTAATTCAAAATAGATGACAAGACTGACGTGGCGTGTGCATGAAGCGCACACCCACTTCATCTTTCCTCCCTCACTGTGCGACTGGACTAGGGAGGTGCAACGATTCTCTCCGAGTTTATCTTCAGTACAAATCTGCAAAGCCATGCCTTCATCGGAAAAGACATAAAAACAGGTAATTTCAGACAGATATTAATGTGTTATCATTTTTACATGTGAACATTAATGATCAAGTGGAGTATGTTAGAGAAAAGTCCAATTAGGCAGAATCTGGCTCTGGATTTCAAATGGAAAATTAAGACTTTTTAGGTATTGCTGTCTAAAAACACATGATCATTTAATGTCTTTTTTGTTTTCTTAGTGTTTTGGTGGCAGCAGAGAGAGCAACAGCAACAGTGATGTTTAGAGCAGTGTTTGGACATAAGAATGAAGAAGGAAGAAAACATGGAGGGAAAAAGACCCAGCGGCATCAAGGTAAGATGAAATCATTTGAGAAATATTTTCAAATAAGCAAATTCAAACTGAGAAACGTTCATACAGGTAAAATACGCATTTATGTTGTCCATGGAATATGTAAAGTGAAAGATGTACACACTAAATCTTGTACTTTGTTGGTGGAAATACTCAGGTTCTCTTCTCCCGGGTGATATAAGTAGAGCCATTTCAATTAGCCTAATTCATCAGCGTGTTCTGTCCTTCATTCTGTGTCCCGACGCTCGCGTTTTAAGTGTGTCAAGCAAAGTTGGGGTGGGTGAAGAAAACATTATGACCTACTAAAAACACACCACACTTCACACGGATTTCTGAATGGCTGATTGACTGGACGAGAAATAGGATTGTGTTGAACAGTCACTCAGACCATGAGTTAAGACTGTATTTTTCATTTCACCGTATTTACTGAAATACAGTGAAATGGTGGGGATGAATGATCATAAGCTGAGATCAGTATTAAAGCAACCCTGTTGCGCATTAATAGTTGATGATGTGCTGCCCTCGGTAAAAGCGCAGAGGAAGACATAGAACTGTGTCAGTCTCATTAAAATGAAAGAGTACGTTTGCAGTACGTTGGTGCGGCTCTGAGGAGTTAAAGAGCAGGGTTGCTTTTTGAAGTCTGATCATTTTCAACCAATGATCCACTCAGAGTTTTTTTTGAATTATGCAACTGTACATCATGCACATTTGTAATATTAACCAGAGCTCCTCTGAGACCTTGTTTTACTCAAGGGCACAATATCAAAAACAGACTTGTTTGATGTAGAGGGTTATGAATAATTTAAATGTCATAACAGAAAAATTACTGAAGTAACCAGTAAACCTGACTTTGGGAGTTCTCTTGCATAATGCTTCATCTTGACACTGGATCTGCATAATCTGTTAGATTTATTTAAAATAACAAACATCTTAAATACTCCTGTTCAGCATTTCACTACAGCAGAGGTCACCAACTATATTTGTTCTAGGGATACTGTCCTTTGGTTTACAAAGCAACAGCTGTTTTGGCAGAACGTTCTTTTCTAGTCAGTGGAAATGATGTGACACAGTGAAATTGTGTCATCTCTGTTTTTAATTTTTTAATTTTTGCAGGCACTGTGGTTCACACCCACAGCACCTTACAGAGGGGCAAAACTGGACGCGCCAGTCATCTTGGGGATACTAAAAACTCTGCAAGGATGAAAAGGTTGACCAAGGGTCTGTCCATTTCTTTACCATCCTCTCCTCTTCCTCCACGCCAGGCTGATATGGCCTCCTCTCAGACTTGTAACCATTTTCCTGGTGAGTTAAAATATGACAGATTTAAAGGAAGCAGTTCATGCTTTCAACGAGAATTGATTCACAAGAAGCTACTGTAGCGTATTTGCCTCGATTAGCGTAGCGCTCTCAAGCGTTCAACTGTTTCCTACATGTGACAAAAAACACAAGAGCACACAGACTGTGTCCCCCAGGGCCCACAAATATGTGACAGACTGTTCGACTAAATGATTAAAGAGGACAACTCCAGGCAAAAAAGAAAAAACTAAAAAAAAAAAACCTCAGAAAGTGTGGTCAATTTTAAATTTATATATATATATATATATATATACACGTCATTTTTACAATTAGGTCATAATCAAACCATCTGTTCCAATATGTACTAGTCTTTGGTTTGTGGAAACAGATGGCTGCCCTGTCATACACATAATTACTGCAATACATTTATGTACAGAAAGGTTAATTATGCCGGTTGTTATTCAGATTGATTTCTGAACCAAAATGTTATCATGATGCATTTTCTATTTTTGTTATTTATGGGGGTTTTTTATCGCAAAGCTTTAATTGGGTGAGAGAGAAATTCAAGAGGAAATGTTCTTGTTGAATTCATTTTTCAGTAATTAAAAAAAAACAAATCTAATTATTAAGTTATTTATCCAAACAAAGCAGCATAACGTCAGAACACATCTATCACAACTTCATGTCATTAATACAATTTCAATTCAACACTGACTAGATACAGTACTAAACTGACTTGACTTCGGACTGTAGTACATATCCATTGATATTACTCTGCATTTAAATGGACTGAGAAAAAAACGTCTAGGATGCCTTACATTAAAATATACACTAGATGGCAGTGTCTTGCAACGAGCTCGCCTATTTAGAAAAATAGGTTGCAATTATATTTCAGTTTATGCAGCACAGCCTGGTTTTCTTTCCACTGAGCACTAAATAGACATTACACCGAAATTTACAGCCAGCATTCTATGGGCTTCATATTACTGCCTGGTCATTATTATCAAATATTGAAAAAATAACAAATTGTGGTTGGGAGCAGCTGCACACCTGTGATTCAACTACAGAATAACCTTGAATGTGTGAAAACACCTAATACCTACAGAAGAACCTGCAGTTTGAAGAAGAAAAAAAACAAAAAACTAGATGCATTGACGGAGACACACCCACACAGCATGAACGTGTATGAACGCTATATATACCGAAACACACACACACACACACACACACACATCCATACACACATAATAAAGCTGGCATAGTACAATCAATAATATACTCTTTTACTCCACACGATCTCTAACCACTGCTTTTCACTCCTGGGACACAATTCAAATTCTGCACCACAGATCTCATCTGAGTAGACTTAATCTTTCTCTCTCTCTCTCTCTCCCGCTCTCTCTCTCTCTCTCTCTCTCTCTCTCTCTCTCTCCTCTCCTCTCTATCCTGTCTCCACCCTCTATCTCTTGCTCCCACCCTGCCTCCTCTCCCTCCCTCTGCCTGCTTCTTCTCTGCTTTCGCCAAAGGACGGGTGAAGAAGCTTGAGTATGTCGAGGACTCTTTTAGTGCCGGAGAACCTCTTGTCTTTGCCTCGTGCCGCGGCGAGACACACCAAGGAGGTGAGAACAGGAGTGTGTGGGTGTGTATTTACCATTGTGACTGTTTGATCCAGGTATTAAGCATTGAGGCTAAATGGGAACGAAAGAACCCAAGGTGAGAGAAGAGTAGAGAAAGGGTGAGATGCAACGGAAAAATCAAATCTTTGTGCATTGTTTTAATGACATCCGTTTATGTTCTCTAAGTTTTTTTCCCCAGTCAGATCTGTGTTTGATCGTTTTCTTATGCAGATTTGATCTATTGTCACAGTTTCCAGAGTTTTGTTTTTTTTTTCTTTTTGCTATGACTCGTCTACTCATTCATTGTCCAATTAGAGTTACATTAAGGCGGCCGTGATTCATCACCTATAACTCAAGCAGCTTTCTTTGTGCGTTGGACCAGGAGGCTACCCTGAGGCCAAACAGATTTTATGAAGCATCTTCTATTGCTGTTGCCAGGCACCTCTCAGCTTCCCGTTTCCAATAGCAACTGCTAGGTGGTTTGCTGAAAAGTACTAGACATCCAATGTGTCCTCATATTACTTTAGATGTGATCCTGGAGCTGTGGTTATTAGAGGCAAAGTTTTGGGGATTTTTTGCCCCCCTCTATTTGAATTTTTGAAATACATCCACTTTTTCTAAACAAGTTTCTCTTATCTGGCTTGGCTTGTTATTAGCTTTTAAGGCTGTGACGAAAGCCTCAAAGAACAGAGATCCTTCCTTGAACCCTTCATGTGTAATAGTGACCAGATATATACAGTAATTAACCTTGACCTTCTTAAAACCCTGCTTGTGTTTAACGTCGTGTAATTACGTAAATTACAAGAGAAATTTGGTACTGAGCATGAAAGATCCTGAACAGGAAAGGAAAAATTAAAAAAAAAAAAAATCAGTAGAGAGAGTGAGAAATGAATGTGTTGCAAAGGTTTTTGTGAGGAGGAGTGAGCTGTTCCTGTAATCTGCAATGTCCTGTCATTCTGTTTGCATGCCTACTCAATATGCATGTTAGTCAGTTGATAACAGTGCAAAGATGAGGTGTGGGAACACAGGCGTGTTACTGTTCGGCTCAATCAGCCAGAGAAATGGGATGAAAAAAAAAACTCCGAAGCCTTAGTCTGCGGAGGTATGTGTGTGGAACGTGGGGCGGTGTGGGCTGGAGGTCAGAGCTTTAGGGAGTCTTAAACTGTGATGAACGAATGCAGCACATGGCCTGTGTCAGCCCATCTTTCCAGGAGCAACAGCTATAAGGCAGAGTCAGTGCACTCCTTCTTTCTGCTCCGGAGCTGACACCGAGCTAATTGAAATTCACAGCCCGTTTGTGGACAGAGAGCACCTGGCAGGCGTCTCCCGCGAAAAGAGCAAGAGTTAGATGTCAGTTTCCTGTGGTCTGCCTTTTTTCTTTTTCTTTTTTACTGCCTATTAATCAACGTGTCCTGGATGTGTGTGTTGACCAGACCTCCAAGTGGTGCCCAAGCTGGGCTCCTCCCTTTCTACCGAGGAACTGATGACCAGACTATGTTTCTTATTGGGAGAAGCCACGCCTGGCACTGATAGCTCTCCTATGGAGGACAGGAGGGGAAAGAAGGTAAGACAGCATATCAATACGCCGGTCTATGACTGTCTTGTCGAATAGAAGTTTAAGCAAAGGTTAATGAAGTGTCCTTCTGTTGATCTTCATTTTAAAAGCACGGATATTAGTCACTCAATATTTGGAAACAGCCCAGTAAACAATGTATAAGATTTGACCACTTGAAAATGGCATTGAAAAAAAAAAAACAACACCTTTTTATCAATGACACAGTGGGCTGTGGCAGAAACATGGTCTACCCTCGGAGGTTCATTGTATCTGTTCATACATCTCTTACATCACGCACCTCCATCTCCGCACCTTTTCGCTGCTCCATCCTTGACCCATTTTCTCAGCATCATCTCCACACCTAAGCTCCAGATTCACAGAGATGGTGAGGTTCATATGAGGAATGTGGGTTGTCCTGCAGATGATAGATGAGGGTCTGGTACAAAGGAGAGTACGGTAACTGCGAGCCACTGCAATTCTGCTGCCTTGTCTCACTCGGGTTTCTGTGTTGCAAACAAAAATATTGCACCAGTGAAAAGGAGACCCGAATTCTATAGGATCGAGCGTCATGGATGAGGAGGGTTCGCCTGTTTATGTGTTAGTTTTAAAAAAAAAACATTTGAATGAAAACATTTTTAAGTTTTCTCAGTGATGGCACAGAATCAAGAAGCTACATGAACAAATGCAATATACACACACATATATATATATAACATATTTAATTATTGTAGTACTGTTTATGGTCACTACAACACACTACAGCAGGGGTGTCAAACTCAAATTCACAGCGGGCCAAAATTAAAAACTGGGACGAAGTCATGGGCCAAACTTACACATCAGTAGTATTTGTTTCTTATTATTCCTCTCTATCTCTAGCTTTTTGAGTTTCTTTTTAATGTAAATCTTTTTTTTTTTAAATGTATGTGCTATAACATAGGGCATACACCGCTAATACTACACATCCTGCCAGTATATAGTGACTATATTTTGGCGGGACAACTCTAGTATACATTTGATATGATCTCGTGATCAAACATAATGACACTGCGGGCCTGAGTTTGATACATGTGCATGACATAATTATATTTATATTCTAGTTTTATACATTTTAATTTGCTCATGATCTACCAGTACTCCCTTTGCGATCTACTGGTAGATCCTGCTCTGCTTATTGGGCACTCTTACCCTCTCTCTCTCGCTCGCTCTCTCAATGTTTGCGTTCATTTTTTTTTTTAATGCAACCACACTTCAAGTGGCGTTTCATTTCATCTTCCTAGAACCCATCTTTCGTGGCTCACTTGAATGTGTGACTAACAGTGACTCCTGCAGTAAATTGTTGTAATGGCCACTGCCTGAGACGTACTTTTAAACACAACCAACCATCTTTACAGAGAACAGGGAGGATGACAGGCAGCTTGGAAATAACTGGAATTATCACTTCATTTTCATTAGTCACACAGACATAGACAGTAAAAGTGCACATAAACCGAAGGTTACACCCCTGGGAAAAATGTTCACTTCTCTTCTCTTTGTTTCATTTATAATATAATTTTAAATCTTCCTCCTTTTCAGTGTGACATCTCTGCCCAGGGAGGGAGTCCTAGCTCCACCCTGACCTGCAGCACTGCCTCCCCCTGTTCAGAAAGCCCCTCTTCCACCCTCAGCCCCCCTGCTGAAAGTCATCATTTGCCCCAACCTTTGCCCTTACCTTCACCACACTACAACTCCAGCAACAGCCCCTGTGGGACCCTGTCCAGTCGAGGTCCGAGTCCTGCCCGTGCTCCTGCTCCTGGGGGCATTACAGGACATAGCCATGGGCCTCCTGCTCAAAGCCCCACGTCCACCCTGGAGAGCAAGGACAGTGGAATCATTGGTAAATGTTCTTGTTGTGTTTACTGACAGATGTTTAAATATTTAAATTGCTGTTTATAAAAATATATATATATTTGATTAGGCCTTCAGAATCTGTTGAAAAGTAGTCTACCGGGGTATAAACTCAAACATAAGCTAGTGCTAGAGTAGCACTAGTGTATATCGGTGGCATAATCTCAACAAAACTGTACATTTGATCCAATTACTAAACCTTTGAAAACTACAATTCATTTAATGAAGTCTTTCATGATGCAAAAAAAAAGTTTGAATTTAAACCTTTGTAACTCACATTGCCTTTTCCTCCCCTAGTCATTGACTTTCTGCATCTATGTTATTTTATTCAACACTTGATCTAATTGAGCATTCCTACCACCAATGATGTTTGATAAAAATGGATAACAATGAGGAAACGGCAGGCAGCTGTGTTACAAGCTGATGGATAGAGCACTGAACTACCAAAATGTTGGGTTGTCTGTTCGGTACATCTATCTCACAGCTCTGTTTTTATAAGGCTCGTACCACTTCAGTACCAGACCTTCAGCTTCCTCCTGTCAGAACTGGGACACTGCTGTCTTTGCTGCTTATGGGTCTCATTGTCCTAAATAGGACACTTTTATTTTTTATTTCTTTAAAAAAAAAGAGCTTGTATTTCCAGGCTAACAAGACCTGCATCAGGTCCAATTCAAAACAACACGGGACGTAAACGTCACTTGTTTGTGACAATCGTCATGTCGACTGTACTCGTGTTCTCTAAAAAGTAAACAGTTTGATTTTTCCTTTTTCTTTTTTTCTCTCTCCACTGCTTTAATTTTCTTCTGCACGGCCCAGCGACCACCACCAGTTCCTCTGAGAATGAGGAGCGCAGCACCACCAGTGAGGTGCTGATGAAGGACGAAGGCCCAGTGGGCGGCACCGGTGTAATGGGGCATGTAAGTGGAGAACATCACACTGGGCCAAACAAGGACACTCTGACCGTCCAACTAAACGAGACTCTGTCCAAAACCGACGTCACTGAGTCCAGGACCCCACCGGCACCTAAAAGACCCCTCCCACAGCACAATGTGAACAGCACCTCCTCTCTGGCGATGCCTCGTCCAAACTCCGTGGCAGGTAGGTTCAACGCAAAACCTTTGTTTATTTGTGACTGGAGCAGCAGAGTGGGATTCTTTTCTTCCATCTAAGGAATATCGGAATAAAAAGGTCCCTTATTTGTCCCACAATAGGGAAATTGATCAACAGCGGCTGCCGCAGGAGGCGCGATTAAGCATGTGGTTGTTACTCGACTGAGGCAGATGCGTAAGGCAGGCATGATAACCGCTAGCCTAGTCTAAAGAAAACCAATGACAATTATAGTCAAGACAAATGGCTCAATAAGAGACGGCGCTGAGTGATGGCGCTAAAGATTTCTGTAAAATAAACATATTATTAGGTAGATGTTTGTTGTGTGCAATATATATACGTTCTGAGCAGGATACCAATTCAACAAATAAATATATCATATTTAGGCCTTTATGCACTCTTAATTCAACAAATAAATATATCATATTTATGATATATTTATTTTTATTTATGATTTAGCCTTTATGCACTCTGCTTTTTCATAATCACATAATTGAGTTTAGCAAATACACTGGTGTCATATTAGGGGTCATATTAGAACGCTGTTAATGTTGCATTGCTCTTGTAATGATTATTTGGGCACATTTTTTCTTATTTACAAGAATGTTTTTTTTTAAGTGACAAAATACAATCTTTTGTTTGTTTGTGTGTGTTTAACAGAGAATGAACGTTGGGAAACGCATTGGTTCAATGTTGTTTTTGTGGACAAAATAACCGCAAGGACAGAATATGTGCGTTTGTTTTTTTTTTACGTCATGTGAAAGAAAGTGTAGCACTGGAAAGTTTTTATCAGGTGGGTCGCTTTGACCAGCTGTTCTACATTAGCTGCCGCTGCATACCTCTGCTACCGTCGAGGACAATCGGCATTAAAAAGTGAGCTGAAAAAACAGGTGCAGCCGTCACTGCTTCTGTCATGCAGGAAGTCAACCGTTACTTCCCATTAAAACACACCGTGAGGTGTCTGAAATTCAATTTGTGCGAGGATAGTAACAACTCTAAAATACTGCGTTATCAGTGAACTTGTACGTTGCTAAAGCTTCCAGTACATTGTGGCTGACGCAGGTTAATAAGCATATGAATGTGACAGCTGCGACCTGCGGGCTGATTAATTAACAGGCACACAAATATTGACTGAATGGCAAATTGATTGAATTGATTGTTTGACTTGACATTTTCCAACTATTCATTGGTTGCACAGAATGCCAACTAAACTCCCACGCACCATGTGCCGGTGCTCTGCTTCTAATGCTGAAGCTGAATACACGCCGCGAGCTTTACCAATGTCCTCCAAGGCTTTCAATTGTCATAAGAGTAATCCCCCCCAACCCGCTCCACCCCCTCCCCTTCTCCCCTTCTCCCTTTCCAGTCACGATCTTTCCAAGTGCGCGCGGCTCTTTTTCTTCCCTTAGATGTCAGTTCATTGGTGGTTGGAGAGAAGGAAGAGATTCCCTAAGGAGCGGATTCAAAGTAACGCTTGCCAGTTTTTGCTGTCAGCTGTTGCTTTCATTTAGGCATTCTTGATGGAATTCAGCATGAAGTGCTTTTTTTTTAACTTTTACACATGCATTAAAGAGTGACAGCGAACATTCGCCGTGCAAAATGGCATACGCTTAGTGACAAGAGGTAAAATGAAACTACCTTCATCTCTAAGAACGTTCTTGTTGACTACAACAATTTGACCAAATGAGATCCAAAAAAAAAAAAAACTCCTACAGTATCAAAAAAACATTTTTGGAGAAAACTCGATTTTCTTGTAGAATTGTGTTCATAAAGGATACCAAACATCAGGACCGGCTCAATGGAACTTTTTATGTTCAATACGGATACTGGAGCATCTGCAGCTATCAATATCAACCGATATCGTTTCTCCTCTCTGTGGGTGTTTATAAAACATGGACTTTATACCATTAGATCCAATTATTTCCAATACTGGAATGATGCCGATCCTGAAGATCACATTGGAACTTCACTACGCAGTACGCTGTATTTGGATTGTATCAATTTGTTTTTGTGAGTATAAATCTCTTGCAGTGCAGTGGCAGTGTAATGACAGTAGATAACCACCAGCCTTTAAAGGAATTTAGTAAGATAACATTCTCAATTAACCATATGTTTCATATATATTTCAATACACGTCCATCCAATCCAATTGTCCTCTCACACCAGAGAGTGGTTGTACGTGCGTATTGTAGTTTTACAAAACCCTGGGAAAAATTGTGTTCATTATTTTGTCAAACTTTCAGTTGGAAAGTGAACACTATTTCCTGCTAATTGAGGAGTCATTCCTTCAGGCTGGCCATGGCCTAAGCACATTTAGGAGGTTTTGATCCAGAGCTGCAGAGTTGACCTTTAAAGTGATGAGTGATTGACAGGGGTTGGAGGCTAGTCACCCACACTGTCATCAGCTGGGAACAGAGTGATGGAGAAGGGGTGTTGAACCGTGTCCCATCATCAGCCTGAACTGTCAAGTGTAGCACGGGTGTTAGGGATGAGTTACCTTTGTGTCCCCTTTTTTCAAAACTGGCTAAAACCTGTGTTGCCTCCTCTCTTCCGTCTCTGGTCCATTTGGTGTGGCTGTCTTCAGCCAGCACTCTCTCATCCCACTCTACACCTCCCTCACATGTTTCTGCTGCAGACTGTTCTCCATCTTCTCACTCTCAAGGTTTTTTTTCCTTTTTTTTTTCTTTTCAATCCCAGCTTCACCACTTCAGCTATTCGCTTGACAATCACTGCGAATTCCTCCCCGTTTCGGCCTTTGATAGTTCTCGGATAAAAGGAGAGATTCTCTTACAGAGATGAGATTTCCATGTTCCAGGGTTTAATATTTGTCATTTATTTTCTATTACGCTCATCAAATTAACACAGTAATTGATGTGCCTTGCATCAGGGGGACATTCATTGTCCACGGAGCAGATCTCATTTGCTTCTTTTTTTTTTTACAATAGAACTGATCCATATTTCAGTTCTCTGCTGCTGCAGGATTGAAGTAATTCAACTACAAATTATACCAAAGTTGGCAACGTTTTTTTTTCTTCAAAAAAACAACCAAAAAAGACATGCAGTATTTTAATGACCCTCATCATTTTATGGGCTACACGTGTAGTAGGTTAAGTAAAAAACAAACAAAAAACATCTGAAAAAGGCTAGTCAATAGTAGAGATACACCAATCAACCGGCCAGTTTGTGTTGTCACATTAAGGAAAATCGGACAGGTAAAGATTTATGTCCATAAATCACGTTCCAATGAACGAACGAATGGAAAAAAAGCAAAAAATTTCAGTCTGTGCATCTCTAGTCGATAGCAGGTTTACCACCAAGTCAACTCAGTCATGTCTCTTTAAAAGTGGATTATCTTGCAGTCCTTCCTTCTGGATACGTTTTTTTTTTTAAACAGCTATAGATGTCATTATTTCCAAAGATTATTTCTAAAAGCATTTGTATATTAACCTGCACAACCACACAACTATTTTTATAGCAGTTACAGAAAAAATTGAGCCTTATTACATATTGCTACAGGAAGAGTTCCTGACTGCTGGCCCCTGAATTTTAATTTAGCCCCGTTTAAATATACTTAAACCAATTTAATGTGGTGTGACGCATGAGTGACAGAGGAGTGCTGTTGTGATTGGACTTAATGGAGGATGCTTATAGGAACACGCTGTTTTGGCTGTGACAGTAACTGCAGATCCACACGCGTCAAACTCAGGCCACGGGCCTGATTTGGCCCCTGGTTTAATTATATTTGGCCTGCAAGATCATATTAATTGTGTACTAGAGTTAGCTCTCCAGTATATAGCTGCTATATACTGGAGGGGTTTGTAGTATTGATGTATGCACTATATTATAGCACATACATTTTTGGTTGTTCTTTTGTTGTTGTTTACATTAAAAAGAAACTCAAAAGGCTTATTGAGTTCTTATTTCTAATATAATTTCTTATGTTTATAACATTAAGTTTTGGTCGTTCCAGATTCAATGCTTACACAAAACTAAAGTTTGTTTCCGCATGAAAAAAGTTCAACATTACAGATCTGGATAAAAGGGAAAACATGGACATTTTCCAGTCAATTCTTCAATAAATATCGAGTTTGGCCCGCGACTTTGTCCAAATTTTTAATTTAGGCCCACTGTGAAATTGACTTTGACGCCCCTGCTCTAATCAAATAACAGCATGAGAGTTGTAATTTTGTGCAAGTCCCACAGATGTTCCCAGCTTTAATATCAAGTGCATTAATGTCGTAGTGACCATTTACATGACTCATCTGCAGACTGTGTGTGGTAACCATCTAAAAATAGGGGTAGTGGGTTGGTGGTCTTTATCATTTTTCGTGACCCCCAACCTCATCGGGGGTTCCTTATGGGCAGGTACCCATTCATATTTATAATATTTAAACCTATATTTAATAGTGAAGTTTGCTTATTACATATGTAAAGAACATGTTTTTGTTGCTAATCAGTGCCATGTAAAAAAAATAACTGCTATTGTGTGTGCAATATGGAGCCGTTACAAAATGGACCAATTATATATACATACATATATATATACACATATATACATATATATACATAGTACAATTTAAAGAAATTAAATTGTACTATTTAATTAGAGTGCATTCAAATCCTATTTCTTCCCTAAATTCCCTCCACAGACACTCAAATTCTAGCTGAAGTCTAGCTAAGACTACCAGATTCAACAATCACCAACAACGTCCAAAAGAAGCAAACCCAGGAGACGCCAAACAACAATGTAAACAACACAGCAGTGGCAGTCTGTCTAATAAAAGGAGAAAAAAAACTGTCTTTACCTGAATACACACACTAGGTCAAAGCAGAGTGGCTGTAGACATGGGAGCAGGGGTTACAGGGCAGCAACAGCATCTAAAATAATAATAAAAAAAAACAACAATAAACTAAACAGAAACCCACAATGACATTCAATAATGTTTGAAACAGGCCTACACACCTCCCACCCCAATCATGATAGCCCGCAGGTCTGCACAGTGCCCACTAGTGGCAGGGAGTGCATTGACATATCACAGGGCACTTTTTTTTTTTTTTTTTTACATGATCACATAAGCTACTGCTATTCAGGAAGCGGTTGGTTTGGGTCCAAATCATGGATTAAACTTCACTATTCTAATCCAGGATTGTGATGGGAGAGTGGTTTTATTTTATGTCTAGACCCCGAGTAATGACTGGAAAGAGATTATTTTACGCACAGTTTGATTTTAATTCTATTTTATTGTTATTTGTCTGTCTTTTGTTATTTATTTTAATTTTTTTTGTGTGTTTCTAAAATCATATTCATTCAGCCTACACTGACTTCATACCGACGATTCACCAGTACACCTTGTTGCTGTACTGCAAAGATTTCAACAAAAAGATCTACTCTAGCAGTATTTTCACACAGGCCTCATCCACATGGCACCGAGGACTACAGAAGGTTTTTTAATGCAACACAAGTAAAAAAAAAAACAAGGTTTTTTTAAAAAAAACTTGTTTGCAACTTGTCATTAAAACTGACTCTTTAAGTTTTAGTGTTTAACATTTCAGAAAGTTTAATAGGAAAAAAATGACAAGAACCACCCACATAAACCAGATGCATGAACAGATGAAGGAGTGAGGAGGAGGAGGAGGAAACAGCAGAGAGAAAGAGATGATTGTAATTAGAAAATGTGGTCCCACCATTAGTCTCACTATTTGCTGCACAAATGACTTCATCACTGAAAACGCAAACGTAAGAAGAAACCACTGGCTTGCTTGAGCCCAAGAATCTCCTCAACTTAAATAAAGTGATACTTTTACATTGATTTACTGCGGTTTTTATATCTCTGTGTTAAAGCAACGAGAGAAGCAGATCTGGGCGAAAATTCTAGTAAGGTTGATTATGAGAAAAGGTGTTTAATAACCCATATATGAATATATATGAAATAGCCACAAGTTCATGCCATTAACGTAGACGTGTGATTTTGGATAAATGCAGACGTAAATATCCAGTAAATCCATCGCATCATATCCTGGGAAATCTCAGTAAATATAGGATCTTTGAACTGCACTGACTATAATCTGGTGAGCTTTCTCATGCCTCCATGCCATAAAGCTCTGGGATTAGTTTTTCCGTCATCAAAAAAGAAGAAAAAGAAAGAGAAAGCCTGAGAATAAATATTAACTTTGTTTCTTGGCCACTTTTTTTTTTTTAACCATCCAGTCTACAGAAAGATGAACATTTGATTAGAAATCATATTTGATTTTCTCATCCATAATCTTAAAAACCATGCCAAAAAAATATAATGCAGTGAGTATAGAATACATTTTGAAAAAAAAGAGAAAAAAAAAAAATACTCCACGCTCCACTTCCATACCCCACTCTCTTACTGTACGTTCAGTCCATGTACGGATCTAGAGAATGTTTAATATTTTACACACATAGTAAGGCAGGAATAGATTCAATAAATATTTAACGCCTTCCTTCTTTAAAGGTTTAATCAACCAAATGTCCGCACAATGCCGTTATTGTTCACAACAGCCTGCACTCATTTCTCGGAGACTGCAGAAAGCGAGTCTTGCCGACATGTAAACTCGGTAGTGAAAGTGGGTGGATTGATGGGCCAATGTGGGAGGAAACCTCCCCTTGTTTTTGTTTCTTAATCATCTGTGTGAGATTACTTCAATCATGCCTGTTGGTCATGTTTGGCCTCTTTGGGCTTTAAAAAAAAAGAAGGTGTGCGTCGAGTCCCTGAGACTGCGGAGGCATTTGGGCGTCACAGCCCCACCGTTTGTTCCCACGACCGATCGCAAATTTGATGTTTTGACCGATGTGTGGGACAGTACGAAAACATTTAGTCATTTCAGACTCAGCCTCACGTCTAAAGACGACTCCCTTTTTTTTCTCCCCCCTTTCTTCACTTGTCAAGGTCACTGAGCATTTATCGCTAAGAGCAACAGATGTTTATGGCTCCCGTCTCCATGGATACGATCATTGATCATTGAGTGATGAATTCCACACTTTTGTGTTCTCTGGGTTTTTGTTTTTTTTTGCCTGTGCATGAGCGGGCGCCAGCGTGTGTTCTCTGTGTGTGTTTGTTTGCACATTTCCACCATCACATTTCTGATGAACTTGCCGACCTTTCTTTGTTCCCAGCCACCAGCTCCACCCGACTGGAGGATCTAAGTTTTCTGGACAACCCCAGAGCTGGTGGACACAGGGGCTCTGTTCGCAAACACAACACGGCTGAACGCACAAATGAAGACGCCAAAGGTACATAGTAGCTTAAACTCCACGTCTTTTGCGAATACATACAAGTTCAATATTTAATTTCTTCTAAATAAAAAAAAAGCAAGCCCCAACTCTCCAACTCAAACAAAGCCACAATGCTGTAGACATCACTGCTGGACAATCCGACGTGTACATCGCCAGTTATTTTGGCAGATCTCTTTACATTTCATCTTCTTCATTTTCTTCTGGATGTGAAAAGAAATGGCAGAACAGACTTCTGATTATAAAAAAAAAAGACCTGTAAAACAAATACCTTGGCAGCGGAGAGGCCAGTCAGATGATGTAGTCTTCAATGACAGCATGCAATAAATATAGCTCTTTTGGTATTTCTTTCATATATAGTTATATACTTAAATTGGCTTCAACCTTCTTTTTCTGTTGACTGTTCTCTTCAGGCGTCACCTCAGCGAATCATCTGCCTCCATCTCACCCTATCCCTGTCTCTTCTGTTTTTACAGACCAACCATCTCCATGTCCTCTTTCCTCTGAGCTCTTCCTCTTCTCCTCTTCTCTCTTTTCCTGGCAACTCCATCTCTAACATCACACATGTCCAAACCATCTCCACCTCACCTCTCTAACTTTATCTCCAAACTTTAAACTCCACCTTAACTGTCTGAACCTCTGATCTGCTCATCTCTAATCCTGTCCATCCTGGTCACTCGAAAAAATCGAAAGCATCTTCATCTCTGCCGCCTCTGACTCAGCCTTTGGTCTATTAGACAGAGCCACTGTCTCCAAACCATACATCATAGCTGATCTCACTATTGGCTTATAAACCTGAGGTTTAAATTTCCATGCTCTCCTCCTGTCACACATCACCCCTGACACTCGTCTCCATCCATTCCTCCCAGCCTGCTTCCACCTCTTTTGTCCACTGTCCATTTCCCTGGATGGTTGACCGCAGGTGTTTGAACTCATCCAGCTTTACTCCCTCTACTCCTTGCATCTTCCACTTTCCCCACTCTCGTTTGAACATGTAATCAGTGTTGCGCCTGCCGACCTTCATTCTTCTTTTCTTCAAAGCAAACCTAGAACCTCTCCAGATTCCCTTCCACCTGCTCCCTACTTTAGTAGAGTACAATGTCATCTGCAAACATCATAGTCCACGGAGCCTCATGCCTGACCTCATTGGCTTCAACCTAAACATCAAAAAAATAGAATTAATACTACAATTAAATATAACCTCCAAATTTCCACCAAAATTAATGTGCCTAAAAACTTTCTTTGAGTATTTATGGAGAAGAGTGGCCAGCAGCGGTACTGCAGCTAAAAATGAAACTATGATGTTAGTACATCATCAATTTATTACCTGTTGTCTATATGTGTTTTAGAGCCACGGCATACATTTTACATTTCCAAAATATCACTGTGCACCACCAATCAAAAATGTCACAAAAATATAGATGCTTTTCTAGTTTCTTATATCACTGTGCACCACCAATCAAAAATTTCTATTTTCTAGTTTCTCTTACTCACAAGTTACTTAGTTACTTACTCAGTGAAAAACCTGTGCTTGTTTAGTTGAACATAACTGATAACTGATATACTTGCAAAAATTGAAGAAAGATACACTGATATACTCGCAGAAATTGAAGAAAGATACACATAAATATATTCCACAGCTGAGTGTTTTTTTTGTTTTATGACCATCTGCTGCCACCTGGTGTAAGGGTATTCCATTGTTCTGCATGTCACTGTCACTTATTACAGATAATCTGTACATAAATAATGGTTTTCAGGCCAATTAAGTGAAAATAATTGTCCGTGGTGATTTCTCCCGGCTGAGTCGCTGATTTATAGCGCCTGAGGTTCACACTGAATCTTTTATCCCATCTGTGCAGGGAGATTAGTGGCCTTCAGACATGCTGACATCATGCTGAAACCGCTGCTGTTTGAAGTCCCCGGCATCACTGCTGACACCTCGTTTGTCGGGCGGGATTGGCTCTTTACACGTCTGGAGGAGGTCCTGAGAAAATCCACCAGCTGTGACGGACGCGGGGCTGTAATTGTAGGAAACGCAGGATCTGGCAAGACCGCCATCATATGGCGTTTGGTGATGCTGAGTTGTCACAGCACGCGGACACCGCTGGGAGGTCCCAGCTTCTCACACACCTCCACTTCGCCTAAATGTAAGATCCAAATCCCACTTTAAAAACTCAAATGTTTTTGTTTAATCTCATCTGAAGGGCCCACGCAGAAACCAAGGAGAACGTTGAAATCGAAATTCCCCAGTAGTTCTCACAAACATCACAATTTTGTCAGATGAAGTAGCACTTTTTGGAAATGAGTTGGTAAATAGGTCACGTACTCCTCTTTCAAGTGCTCCCCTGCGGTGTCTCTGCTGATTGCAGTTGTATAAAGGAACACAATTGTTATTTTTTCCCC